ATTTATGAATAACACACGACAATAGTACATTGTAAAGGAATATAACTTGTTTTCCTTTCATGAAGTAACCCTTCGTAATGTAGAAGACTACAGCAATTAATATTTAAGTGCAATCTGAACCCAAAAAGATTAATATCTGGAAACCATTGAGTACAAAATCAGTTTCCAGATCACTTATGCTTGCCAACTACAAAGAGAAGCTTAATGCGACTTCTGCTTACCTGAGCCAATAAGAGGTCAAGTTTTCCGCTGTTATTCAAAGAAGGGAACACATCACCATGGCCTGGAGGATACCTTTCACACCAAAAATCACAACAATCAGATGGGGGTATTGCCTTTCTTCAAATATGCTATAATTGAGGTATGGTTCAAACTATATCTAAAAGCCTTTACCATAAATAATCCAACAAGCAAGGTGAGATTCCATTGGGAGTAGTCATTGGAAGAACATTTTGACTTCTATAATAACCTAAGAGAGAAAACTAACCAGCCATCCTTCCCAGATTTCCCTTTGCTTGGAAGTGGCAAGAAGTCCTCAGTAACAATGCGAGGATACTGGCTCTGTAGAAGACAATGCAAATTTATCAGCTAACATTGCTTGCCACTCCAAAATGCCATATAATTGAAACAAGTGTAGTTGAAGTATAACAAAAACAGGCTGCAAACCTGATTGAAAGTATGAATTTCAATGTTGGAGTTGGAATACTTCTCAACAATCTTCAGGGAAGAGAAAAGGTAAGTGGCAAGCATGTTAGTACAGGTCTAAGAACTCGTCAATTTAATGAAGACAAGCAAAGGGGAAACGGAACCTTCTGTGTGTCATCATGGGTGTTGAAAGAGTTCATCAGAAGTAAAGGGACACTGCATCCATACTTCTTGTTCAGGGACTGCAGAGACATGTAAACTAATAAGGCATAGACCGATACTGCCATATCCAAACAGTAAGAAAAGATGTTTAGGTTAATGAAGAATACCTCAATTTGAATCACAATAAGGTCAAGGAATGTGAACCCATTGCGGACTTCAATGACAGACCTGCAAACCATAGGAATCTTAGTTGTGCTAACTGCTCAAAGATGAAGGAATTGCCATAAGTCCATAACATCTCAAGGATCATGCATAGCAGCACAAATAACTAATTAATTAATTAAAATGTATCAGGAGACTAAGTGCATGCTAATACCTATCAAATTTGTCTCACTAGATTAAGCTTGAACAATGATATGCGGGAAGCCTTATGACGCATAATTAACCAACAATTCGATTACAAATGTGTCAGCATGTCAATGCACTACTAGTTGAGGCATTAAGAACACTCCATAAGAAAGTAATACAGGCAGCTGCAGCGCATTAGGAGTTGAGCAGATAAACAATTTGATCTCCTCATCGCATCAAACAACATATGCACACAGCCACTCATCAATTCACTCATTTTGAAGAATGGAAGGAGGTCTAAACCTATTGGAATCTCAACACAGTGAAAAGGGACAACAGTATGAGCATTTGAAAGTGACAACTAAAGTATTCCATTCCATATTCTTCCAGATCACAAACATTGAAAGCTCCACTGGTGGGCCAATAAAAACAACATTAATAGGACAGGTCATACTATAACAATGATACAGTACAAAATGACATTTGAGCATGCACACCAAAATCCAAAGAACAACGCAATTGCTTTACTTGTTTAATCATTTTGCGTCCATTAGAAAAAGAAACCCTTGCACCAACCACAAAACTATCGACCAGGAAACTAACGAGCAAAAGTAAATAACCCAGAAACAGACAGCTTGAATAATAAATATTATATTATTAGTGCTCTACCAAAAACCATGTGCAGGATGATCAACATCTAGTTTTCAGTGTTGCTCAGAACACGTATGTAATGAACAAAGACACAATCCACATATTCACAGGCCAGCTAAAGAGAAATACAGTTTTTAGCCCCTTCATAATCCCAATGAAGCTATATACATGATCCAACATATGAGAGCTGGTAAAATTCAGCTGAGCAGTAGTGGAGAGGATGGAGGTGCACTCACTTGGGCCCAGTGCAGCCCATGGTCGTCCCGAGCCCTCCGTTAAGCTTGAGCACAACGAGCTTGTCCAGCAGCTTCTTCGTCTCCTCGAGATCTACCTCACAGACACACGATCCAATCAGTGTTCACACGCAGTGTGTAAAAATCCCCGATCGGATCCACCCACAACAACCACCACACTACACTTAACTAAGATCAAATCGGAACGGGCGATCATACCTTCGGGAGGCGACGCGAGGGTGTCGTACGGCACCACCACCTCATCGGTCGGGGTCTGGATCTTGCTCCACTCGATCTGCTCCGCCTCCCCACTACAAAACGCGACAGCACACATAACTCAACTGACGAGTCGATGCGCACAAAGCAATCATACAGAGCGAATCCGCGGGATCTACTTACCTGAGGTAGCGTGACACAAGGCTGATGAACCCGGCCTTCTCGTTCTCGCTGCGCGGAAAACCCACTCAGAAATCAGCAAAAATGGGAGGCGAAGCGATCGGCCGGCGAGATCTACTAGTGCAGAGGGGGAGTGGAGTGGGGGAGGGGGACTCGCCTGATCTGGTCGAACTTGGCGACCTCGGCGCGAAGCTTTTCGAGCTTCTCGTCCACCGACACCGCGGCGGCAGCGGCGGCCATCGTCGGGGTTCGCGAGGCTTCGAAAGGAAAGGACGGGAGGAGATGTCAGACAAGCGGAGGGAGGGCGAGCGAGGAGGGGTGGTGTGTGTGTCTTGTGCAGCAAGAGCGCGGGTTTTCTTTATAGCGGCCGCGGTTTCCGTCACGGCGCCGTGACGGAATGTGCGGCGGGGGCAGCCGGATATGCCGCGCGTGGTGACGGCGTCTGCCACGTGGCGCGACGGGAGGGCCCCGGCCGTGTGGACCTCGGGGTTGTCGTCTTGTCGACGCGACGCTCCGCTTGGGGCGGGGGCCGCGTGCGTGATCCGTCGGCGCCGCGAACGGGATCGGGGATGGCGCGGCGGCGCTGAGCCGGCGGCCGTCGGTTTCGTCTCTCTTCGGCAAGACTGGCTGGCTGATTCTGACGGACGGACGGCGTGTCATTAGGCTCCGTGCTTAGCAAACCAGTCTCTTTTGGAAGCTAATACCATCATGATTATATGTTCGGTATGTTTAGCCTGGCGGTTGCTGGTTCGTTATAAAAGAAAAATACTGTTCGCTGACTGATAAAAACCAATAAACGGACAGACTGATTATCTTTTCTTAACGCTGTCACGAAGATGTGCAAGTAAAATTGGATTCTGTTAATTGAATTATCGTGGGCGCCGTAGTAGTCTCCTAATGCTGTGTGACCAGTGCGGTGACACCGAACGCGACACCGAGTAGCGAGGCCTCGTTTAGTTTCAAAAAAATTTCCAAAAAAATAGTACAGTAGCTATCATATCGAATCTTGCGATACGTGTATGGAGTATTAAATATAAACGGAAAAAAAAATTAATTGCACAATTTAGTGAGAAATCACAAGACGAACGTTTTGAACTAATTAGTCCATTGTCAAATAAAAACGAAAGTGCTATAGTATTCAAATTTCCAAATTTTGCGGAACTGAACCAGGCCTAATGCAATCTTGCTAAAAAAATGTACTAATAATGTAGCTAACTATCCTTTTCAAAGGAAAAAAGAAGTTACTGTCCTAGTACCTGTTACATGTATATGCTCAGCATGTGTCTGTGAATGGAGGATCGAGTGTGCACAGTGCACTTGTGCTGCGTCTCGGTGTGATGGATACGGGTGGTACAGCTCGTGCCGCGATCACGTTTCAGGTTCCAGCCATACGTCATGGTGCGATTAGGTGTCAACGTGCGCTCCTACCAAAGGACTGTTTTAGATTGTAAGTTTTTTCGCTCTCTTTTCATGACATTAAATTTTTGAACACATGTATGAAATATTAAATGTAGATAAAAAAAATAACTAATTACACAGTTTAATTGTAAATTACGATACGAATCTTTTGAGCCTAATTAGGCTATAATTAGACAATAATTATCAAATACAAACGAAAGTGCTACAATGCCAAATACTAATTCCTAACCCTAATCTAATGAAGGCCAAACTAATAATTGCACAGTACGGTTGCAGAAAGGTGCATGTTTCACCAAACTGATGTTCCATTCAAATCTAATAAGGCCTTGTTTGGATTGTCTTAAAATTCTAAGTTTTTTCACTCTCTCTCCATTACATCAATTTTTGGACGCATGCATGAAGCATTAAATGTAGGTAAAAAAATAACTAATTACACAGTTTGGTTGTAAATCACGAGACGAATCTTTTGAGCCTAGTTAGTTCATGATCAGACAAAGTTTGTCAAATACAAATAAAACATGCTACAATGTCCAGATTACAAAAATTTGCAATCTAAACGAGGCCTAAATATCATTATTTTTATCCAGTGTGTGTCGGTGCACGCAATATGTTTGTTGTTGTTGCGGCAACAAAAATATGGTAGCGCAAGATGCAGAAATTCAGAAGGTGCCGATTCATATCTGATACACACCGACATACAGGACCACTGCAAGTGCACGAAACCAAACTTCGGTGATGACTGAATGACTGACGAAGCACACTCACCTATATCTGCGCCCGTTGGAACTCCACCCCTGGATCTCCAAACACTTGTGCACAGCGCTCTGATGACCCGCCGAGCCTGCTGCTCCTCCTGTCTCCTGGAGCTCGTGCCCCTTGCGCCCAGCTGAGCCACATTTGAGGGTGAAGGCGAGCAGAGGTGAAAGTGAGACCTTTCGGTGCTTCTATGGACGGGGTCAGGAACACCCAAACAAGGTGCCGAACAAATCATCTCACGCCGCTGTGATCGCAGGACGTCCTTTTCCTCTCCAAAGGATCATGCAGAGATTGCCCTCGGTTCTTGCGCATTACCTCGTGCAAACGTTGCCAGGCGAAATAAAATCCAAAACAAAATAAGACGAAAGCAGCATGCGTACAGGCATGGCTGCATGAGCTTGCTGAGGAAGCTTTTATTCGTCTTTTGCATCTCGCACTATGCTTCTACACAACTGCAGCAGCAACTCAGGCATCAGGCATGGGCCTGTGTCTTTACTTCTTTTAGGATACGATGGGACAAGCAACCGGCTGCACTGTGTGGGTGTTGAGATAATCACCTGTTCGCTAGTTGGTGCTGGTGCTGATTTGAACTGGCTGGTACTGGTTTTTGTGAGAAGAAAACACTGTTGCCTAATTGAATAAGCCTAAGCCTAGCTGAAACCAACAAAGCGAACATGGTGAATGAGATGTACGGGGATCTTGCTTAAAAGTGAACTTTGGGTGATCCCAACGTGTAAGCTGCATTCTGTGGGAGTATTTGGTACAACGTTTTCAGAGTTGGATATGGAACTTGTCCCATACTCCTTTATGCATTCAACAACAGAAAGATCATTGAAAAGAGATCGTCACGTTTTCCTGTGCCACTTGTGCTGGACTCAAGACGAATTACTCTCTCCTTTCAGCACCTAATGATCGTGTGTTAGCGTCTTGAATGTCTGTTCGTGTGATCATGGCACGCACTGGACGTGTTTCCAAGGAGACGTACGATACGAGTAAAATCCAGTTTTTTGTTATTAGCTGTGTTTACTGGCTTTCCGGTATCTAATTGGGAAGATCTGTTTGATGACCGATGAAGAACGTTTTAGCCATACATGAGCTTTTGGCCAGATGCAACTGCATCAGCAGTCTGTTCGTTTTGTCGTAAACGATCGTGGATTATTTACTGTTGGCTGGTTTGGTGTGAGAGAAAAATATTGTTCCAGCTTATAATCCACGATCATATACGAGCAAACGAACAGGTTGCAGAACAGCGGTGGAGCGTGACACTGAAACAGGGGGAGGAGGGAAGTTGGCCAAGCCTTTGCTCACTGCTTCCACTGGCTTAAGTCATAACCCTATTTGGACAAGAAACTTTGGATGTTATTATTCGCAAAAAAAAAAACAATTATTCCAAGTGCAGGCCAAGATATTATTTCTTGGAAATTATCTTCTGATGATGCATGTTTTTCCAGGAGTGCTTACAAAATGCTAGTAGCTGCCGAACCAACAAATAGTGTACCAACTAAAATTTCAATGCAGGTTTTGCACATTCTTCAGTATGGGAGGACAAAACGATCGAGCCAAGAGTCAAGACATTTGCTTGGAGATTGCTTAGACTAGTCTAGGCACTACAAAGCGTCTTCACAGGATCATCCCGAGCATTCATGAAACTTGCTCACGCTACAACATAGGTCAACTGCACTACCTTCGTCAACAAATGAATTGCGCCTACAAATCGACAACATCCTGCAGCAACCACAAGCCACGATAAGTTTGGTTTTTCAATTATGTGGTGCTTATGGAAATCTGAAATGATCACAAGTTCAAAAACAACCATTGGTCAGTTACAAGAGTGCTTCATGAAGCCATTGCTATAGACAGAGCTTATCTTCTGTGAGACCCAACCCATTGGGCCAAGTTGGGCCAGACCGAATTCAGGGTGCTGTAGCACAGAGTACTGTAGCTACAGAAAACACGGTGCAACCAGAGTTACCATTCCGTGAATTTTGAGTTCGCCAAACCAACTTAAATAGTTAGGCCAAGGACGTGTAGTAATCTTCGGTTAACCATTTTACGCGAAGCGAGGACGAAAGCGCAAGCGGATTGCTACGTAGGTGAGGCCCACCCCTCGGTAGAGTGGGTCTGTGCCGTGTGCCAGGCCTGGGGCGTTACATCTTCGTGCTATAGAAGAAGACTTATTAAATCCCCGGGAATCTGAACAAGCTAATAACCCTCTTGTGTGCCCTATGATCACTTTAATGTTTGTTTGCAGGCACAAGTGGAGACAAAAATGTTTTGTGACGCTTCTATCTCCTTACACCACACTTAGTGGCGGAGTCAGGATTTGAACATGGAGGGATCGTTCAAGCCGATAACATCACACATGACGAAATACATATACAGTTAAAGTATATATAACAACCAGATAAATGTTTTGTGTTATAATACAAAAGAAAAACTAAAAACTAGAAAAAGAACATAAAATATTTTAGAAAAAAGGAAAAAATAATTATCCCTAGGTCTCTAACACTCATATGATGATCAATCTAATTCTTGTACTAGAAAAAGAATCACAGTAATAAAGGAAGACTGTTAATGGAGATCAATTCAGAAGGATAGTAAACAAGAAAGCACTGATTATATTTAACTAGCTAACTAGAGATTATTGTGGGAACAAAAATGGAGAGAATAATAGAATGACTACTCTTTTAATTATATAAGATGCTAAGATTAATATGGAAGAGGATAAGAAATCGAAGTACAGATAACATCATTAACTAGTCAATTAAAGTATCACATAGCCTATAAATATATCTGGTAAGAATTTTTATTATATATTTCTTAATGTATTATTGAGTAAAATCTATGTTGTATTGTTAGGAGGGGGGCCATGGCCCCTACCAGCCCCACTGGCTCCACCCCTGACCACACTCCAACCCAACATCAAACAGATGCATTGGCATCTTCGTGCTCATTAATCCTACACGTAGGTTGCCACACCTCGCTTCAAGGACCCATTGGTGGCAGAAGCGCATGCTTCGCAACTAGGTGCCAAACTAGTAGGCCTGGGCAAAATACTCGCTACC